CGCTCCCGCCCGTCCTCGACCTCGGGCTACGTTACCCTTTCTCCTCACTTATTATTTTATTTAAAACTAGCTTCCGACCGGGACTCCGTGAGTGGGGTGTGCTCGTATTCACGGAAAATCACCTTTACCCATAGAATAACACATGAATTGAGTATGTGCTTTGATTGTAATAATCATTTCTTTTTTCTACTTGCCTTGTGGCAGCAAACACAAGAACGACGGCACCCAGAAGCAAAAGCCGTGTGGTGACGTGCGGGCGACGTACGGGTGACGTGCGAGCGACGCTCGGGAGACGTGCGGGCGACGCGCAGGCGACGAGGATCACCGGTCGTCGCTAATTAGAAGGGCTCGTCGTCCGGCGACCACCCACGAGGAGGCATTAGATTCCGCACCGTTCAAAGTTTTTTACACCCTAATTAAGCTAATTTATCGATACAATGAGATAAATTATCGTCGGCGGCTCGCAACAGGCCGCTTTATGAGGGGTATTAAACTGCCGGCTGGAAGACCGCTACTGCGCTACACGGGACCCGAGCTTGATGCCCTAATAAATATCCAGCAGATCCCATCAGATAAGGCACCGGAGGAGCGCGGGGCGCGGGCGAGGGCCCTGCGACATCCCCGCTCGCCCCCGGACGCCCTTTATCAGCCGACATAGGTTTTGAGATGGAAAGAATTCCTCGAAGTGCGGTTAACGGGCTAATACATTTACATTCGCCGCTCGACTTGCTAGCGATTAAAGTTTTATTGATCGCACGTCGTACCCTTTTGGAGATAAAAGTCGACCGCTCGACACCGTCTTACAATTAATACGCGGTTACAGCAGCCCGGCGCATACCACACGTGTTGCCGTCGCGTCGCTGCTGCACACACACATCACATGACACGCGCCACATTCAAATTTCTAATAAAAACACAAAAACAATTCATGACTTTTCATCAAGTCTACAGAGTACGGAATGCAGATGTTCGGCTTGAACGGTGCATCTTACCTTCGTCCGAGCCTCGAAACCTGTGCGCCAAAACTCCACCGCACCGGAGATATCGCTCACGCGCAAAATCGCCATTTAAAACTTGGTAGTATCCTTTACGTACACCACGTACGAACTCTCGTGCGATAGCGAAATTTTGATCCACTAGCGACATCGCGCGACGATCATTGACACCATGCAGGGTGTGTGAATATGCTACTTGTAACGTTCGCCAGATGGCACTTACGACCACCTTTCAAATTATTTCAAAACATTTTTAAACTATGTTGCTCTGCTATAATGATTTGGGTTAAGTCTAATAATTGATATTAAGCCTGAAATTAAACCCATTCTCGTCTAACAAATTGATTGTAATTTGGTCAGATGGACACCTGGATCAGACATTGTTGAGTCTTTTACATATTTCTTTTCTTTCTATACTATTATTATAAAGCGTAAACACACAGCTCTTTGTTGACTAAGATGTTTTTAATAAAAAGCCCTACACTTACGTCATGCATTAGGCTATATATTTTCACGCCGTTAAACTTAGGGGATAAACATTTTGGATAAAGACCCTAACATGGGAAAGAGGTCATAAGTTGCTGCCAACATCAAAGAAGCAAGATTGCCAAGGTTTGTCATGTCATGTTATTTTGACATTTGCTATTGATAATTTGACAAATGTAAACAATAAAATATTTTTTTTATAATTTTATGAGGATGAAGCCGCACAGGAACAGCTAGTACTGAATAAAAATAAAAAAGGAGATTTAATCTCATTGTTAAGCGTAACCCAAAGTTACCAGGCCCAATGAGCTTAAATGAAACTAAAATATGAAATAACAATAAATGTAGCCTGTGTTATACACTGATAATGTTGCTTTTTAATGGTTAATAACAGAATTCTTAAAAACAAGTATGTTTTTTAGTTATTTCAATACATAAAATCCAAATCTTTCTTATTTACATTAGTAAAGACAATTTGACTACTTTGACCACTTCCCAAATATCCTCAAATATGTTTTAAAAATTCTCTCTTCTTGCATATCATTGTTTCTTATTTTGACATTGTATAATAATGTTTAACATTAGTATATTAAAAGATGATATTTTTTATGAATTAATTTATTCAAAAATATATGAAGTTGTCACACTAGTGTATCACATACTAAAGTCTTGTTAATATCATGAACCTGTTGTTCCATATTAAAACAATCAGGCCTACTTTTAATTTCGGCAATAAGACCTTGAACAACGAGGGGCATGGAGAATCTGTCAAAATGTGAACCACAGCAAACATACACTGGCTGGTCGAGGGCTGTGGCCAGCTGGCGTGCCAGCGGCGCCGCGCCAGCTTCTGCGCCAGCCAGCGAGCTGCATGCCGCGAGTCGCCCGCTGCGTGCGGGCACACCCAACGCCACCTCGCCCAGCTCTGCCGGCACACCTCCGATCCATACTAATACGGAGTCTTTCATTTTTAATACGGAAATGTGACACAAGAGTTCTCCACTCCATATCTCAAAATCATGGATTCGCCAAGAACTTTTCCTGTACTTAATCCGCCGTTTCGATGTTACAACATCCGGTGATTGCCTTTCTTTCATTGCGTAGATTTATCTCAATCGTTAGAATTATCTTAAGAATGTATGACATTTACTAATTACTGGAAAAAAAACATATCAGTAATTTGAAGCACCAGAATGATTGTAATCGGAAGTAGTCATCCAAATGTCATCTTGACATTTGACAGCGTCATACAAAGAGTATAGGAGTATAGTTCTGCAAGGGTATTGTGGCACCATTTTGCATTAACAGGAGGGCGCCTCTGAGCACTTAGGGTTATGGTATGTTTTCATATTAAAGGAAAATTCTTCCGTTTAGAAAAGGAAAACGCAAATTGTAAAGGAACTACTTGTACCTTACAATGTAACTAGAAAATCAGTGTTTATTTAGAGAATAATGGAAATCTTAATGATTGTTGTTTACAATCAACTCTCAGTTCAAATTATATGGCACGCCCCGTGGTTTGAACGAAATGTTGCGGTGTAAAATCATCAGACAGGCAGTTTCTTCTTACATTTCTGAGTACACAAAGTAATTTCCTTTTTACGTAAAACAGTTGATAAAAACCAAAATCCTTGTGTATTTTATGTCTTGAAGGAAATACATATTATACATGCATCCCCTTGGGTATACGAAATTTGTTGAGTTAACAAATGATATAGTGCCACAAGGCTCTTGGGGCACCTTTTTGACATTGACAGGATGGCGCCTCTGAGCATTTAGGGTTAACAGCAAGGTAATATGTCTGCATTAAAAGGAAATTCCTTTAGAAAATGAAAACGCAAATTGTAAATGAAGTACTTGTGTGTAAAAAAAAAACTCTCTTGCACTACTTTTAAACACTTTCATCACTTTATTTCACGGATAAACATTAAAAAGCTACACAAAATGCGTAAAGTACTGACGCGAAGTGAACTGACTAGCTATGTCAATATTACCTTGACATTAAATGTCACTTCTGATTTTATAAGATTTGCCAGCTGCCAAAAGGATCTTGTAGGACAAGATTACATTTTCGTTATAACAGACACAAGGTGATTCATATTTTTAAACCCCCTACTTCTTCTCCGCGACTAAAATATCTCATAATAATAACATAATGTGGAATAACATTAAAAAAAAACACACACACACACACCGAGTGCTGAAAGTAATGACGCGAAGTGAACTGACAAGCTATATCAGAAATACCCTGACATTCCATTATCATTATTATTTTTCAAAGATTACCGGGTGCCAAAAGAATCATGTAGGACAATACATCCATAGGTTAGTTTGACAATTCATTTCAAATTTAGTAGGGATGTTTGTGTAAAGTCAGTCATGAATCTTATCAATTTTCGATTTTTATTCTTATAGAAGTTGGAATCTATAGATTTATAGTTATAACTCATGAAATAAAAAATAAAAAAACACTGTTTTCTCAAATTAATAATGATCATGACAAATAATGAGAGTAAATAAATGTTTATTACTACTACAGCCGTACGTAATCGAATTGGATTTCGCTATTATTTCTGTCATCGCTAAATTCTTTACACTATAATCAATACTAGAATTGTCCTTTAAATTAGTTAATAAGAAAGTAATAAAAAATTATTAATTATATATTATATATATATATATTATTCAACTAAAAAGTTGAGTTCGATAATTATTTAAACCGAATATCGATAGTTCAAAATTGTTCGCTATGCGTGTTTGTTTCGACACTGAGATACCTGTCTATTAAGTATGGCATTTGCCTTCATACAAATTGAATTCGATATTTCATATGCATCATTTATCAAACTAATCTATGTTATTAATTGATCGACAACAAAAGACAACCTATTAATTGATTGTTAAGATCCATAAAATCGATTCAGGGTTCAGTTTATTTACAAAATATGCTAAAATCGGTTGTCCATCCCTATGACGACGATTTTTGTCTTTTCCAACGATCCAATAAGAAACAAACATTTGTTCCATCTTCTCCGCTATTGATAGTTTTCTGTCGTGGCCGCCTATGATTGGCCCATTTAACTTTAATTCGACCCAATCATAAATTAACGAATAAGATCGTTTTGTTGATGCTTCTAAACTAAACTTGATTCAATTTACAGTTTCACAGTAGTCGGTTTTTTGCTCTCAAACATAGTATTGGTAATAATTCGTCGGCATAAGCCGGCAATATTAGTTTTATTTTAGTATAGGTTTTTTAATTTGGATATCATCACAACCATGAAATATATTTTACTGCTGTCTTTGGGAGTCCTCCTCCTTTCGGGTAAGTTTCATTATCATCCACGCTAACGATTACGTTGCACGTTTTCCTTTAAAGCACGGATATGAAATATCCTTGTTCATTCATAAAAGTAAGGTAGACATGCTCATTATCTAGAAAGTTCCGAGGTTGTACAGGACACTGCTAACATGGTATATATTTTCCGCATCAAATATGACTGTGTTGCTATTTTGCAGGATGGAGCCTTGCGCAGGAAGGCGACGCTGGTGCAGCGGCGGACCAGCCGACGGCCGACGTCGACCTCGGCGCGTCCCGCGAGGGCTCACGCACAGGTAATTGAATTGAATAATGCAATGGGGCTCAAAGAAAAGTTAATGAGCGTCTTAAATTAAAATTTACGACACAGATAGTAGTGCTGCTGCTGCAGCGCATAGTTCTCTCATGCCAATCATTCAATATTGTGAACCTACTCGAGGCTCTGTATAAACAAAATAATTTCCCCAAATATGTATTTTAAATTCAAGCATCTGCTTTAAACTGTGCTCTAAAATATATCTCCAGTTAGTGAACTAAATGTAAAAAAAATACAAATTACAAGCCAACATTGGGATGTTTATTTACTCCCAGTATGTAGTAAATAGATGAAATTAAGTAAGTGAGGTTCAAGATATGCAAATATTCACATATTGCAAAATTCGTTTTTTCCCACTTCACAAAAATTGTTTCAATTGGAGCCGGAGCTTGTGTCCTATGTAGGGTTAGGCTACGTGGTGGAAATATGTGATGTCTAGACCATAGCCTCCTGCCCGACCCTGTCCACCCCAGCAAATGCTCTTCTCATCACAATTAATCTACATTTCGGAGCATGGCAGTGCACCCCCGAGGCAATGGTTCTTTCAATTTGTGCCCTTATAATAATCTTATTATAATTAAACTGTGTCAAATCTTGTGCCAATTTATAATCCCTTTATCTTTGAGCAATGATAAATAACTTGTAGATATAAATATGATAATAATTTTATATTTCTTTGGTTGTATGTAGAATTGTGTTAAAAGCTCAGCCTTGGGCCGTGTAATAATAAATGGACAGGCAGAGCAGTGAGAGTCTAGTGTTGTGCACATTGTCAGTTCCGTAAGCTGATGTAGAACCATTCCCCAAACATCTTCCTAACTTGATAGATTAGATATGGCCGGATTGTCTCAGCATATCTAAAGAGGTTTAATAGGAATAGTCAATAAAACAAATTGTTTAATGTTATGGATAACAAATATGTTTTTCGATGTTCTGAGAGTGTCGATGGCTCAGGGGTTTGAACAAACTATAATTCCCACAAGCAAAATTATGCGAAAGGTGATGATGTGAATGTAGTGGGCATTAGCGGCGTTTGTAGGCGGCGTCGGGCGCCAGCAGGCGCAGGCGCGCGCGCAGCCAGCCCGAGTCGCGGATGTGGTGCCGGCCCGCCGCCGCGCCGCGCGCGCCCTCGCCCTCGCCCCGCGCACCTTCGCCCACGCACCACCATCCGTACCTAAAAAAAAGATCTCCATGGTTCACTTCTAAGCATTAATCGTTATTCATTATTCGAACTCATTTTAAAAGTGCGAATTAAGAACTGACTCTTGAGTGGTAGTAACCGGATGTGGGTAGAGGTCGCGAGGGCCGCGCGCAAAACGGGCCTGCACGAGCTCCAGCGCGCGCGCCTCCGCCTGCGCCTCGGCCTGCGCCAATGCGCGCGCTCCTAGCTTGTCCGTCACCGGGGCCGCTGCAGAACGTAGCATATATGATACATTACAAGCTGTTCCGTGCGCGTAAAACCCTAGACTTACGACGCTTTAGCATAAATATTTTCACACTTAGGAGTAGAAAAAATTGAAAAAAATTCGTTCATCAAGAAAGCGAGGTTATCATTTATGCATTTGAATTTTGACATTTGAAAAATGTAAACAATGAAAAAAAAAACATGTGTTACAAGGAGAACGTTAGTTATGAGTGTGGAAGGGTAAATCGGTAGAGGTAGACCTAGAAAGAGATGGATGGATTGCGTGAAAGATGACATGATCGAAAAGGGAGTGATGACTGAGATGATTTATGATAGAATTATGTGGAGGGCAAAAACCTGTTGCACCGACCCTCCGGGAGTAGGATAAGGAGGAAGGAGATGATGAGCCGTAAGTGTAGGGCTTATATTTAAAAAAAGTTATTATGTATTCAAAAAGACACTGTGATTGCTGACATCCTACGTAACTAAGTAGTGTGTTTTTTTTGCTTTATTCTATTAGTCTAGATAGTAGTTTAGTAGAATATTTTCAATATGCTATGCTATTGAGTACTGCCGGCGTCGATTTTAAACTGTTCAACTGTGTTGGCATAATGTTTGTTGACATTGTACCTGGATTACACTTGGCCAGAATAATATTTGGACATTAGCGCTCAAAACTTGACTTTCATCTGGCATAATGTGAACACTTTCTGGCGCCAGTGAGTCTATACAATGTAAGCCTGGACGGCGAACTGTCCGAGTGTACTAGCTAAGTGCGATCGCGCTTTATATTACTATGGAACGAATATAAATAATCTCCGTCTTTCGTCTTGCAGATAGTTCTGTAACGACGGTTTAAGTTAGAAGAGCTTAAGTATTATTTAGTTAATAAAGTAGTAAGTAACGTTTTTCATAGTATTTTACATACGTAAACCGAGCGGTCTGATGGCGGAGAGGTTAGAGCGACCCGGCTCGCCGTGCGCCGCGAAGCGTAGCTTGAAGGAGGCACGACTCGTCGTCGGCTGCTCCGCGGCT